CACACACACACACACACACACACACACACACACGGCCTCCCTTAGTACCCCTAACACCCCCATCGGAGCCTGCCCACCGGCCCAGGCAGGAAAGGGTAACGGGAAGCCGCAGGGCCGAGCCGGACCCCCCCACCCAGCCGTGCGGACCGGCCGCCTCACCTCCTTTGCCCCCTGGGCCGGTCCGCCGCCTCAGACTGCGGTCCAGTAGCTGGTGCGTCCGCGTGGGGCTGGCCCCTGCCATCAGCCGGGCTGTGGCCTCATGCAGAAACACCTGGGGCCGCGGGGCAGGGAGCCGCGTTAGGCCGCGACCCGCGCCCTGCAACTTCGCGTCCCCAGCGGGCGGGAGATCCGCGGGCACTCACCCTCCGCATGGCGGGCCGGAAGCTCTGTGCCAGGCGTCTCAGACCACTCAAGTCGCGCTGGAAGCCGCGCAGCTCCAGAGCAGAGGCCTGGGGCCCGCCGCTCGCCCCCGGGGCCGCCTGGGCCGAGGTAGGTGGCTGCTGCTGCCGCCACAAGCTAGTGCGTGCCACAAGGAGCAGGTCACACAGGAGCAGCTGCACAGCCTGGGGGTGGCAGGCGGGCCAGGGGTCACAGGGGCCCTAGCTGCGGGAGGGGTGGGGGGCGGCGGTGCCAGGGGCCGGCCCCGGGCTGCACTGCCGAGGCACTGCACCCGCCTCACACACGTGCAATGCAACCGCAATGCACCGCGGGGCCGCCCGCCTCTCCAGGCCCCGCCCACCCCTGCCCGGGGGCACCCGCTTCTGACCCCCGGCCCCGCAGAAAGGCCCTGCCGGCTGCTCACCGCAGCTGTCTGCCTGGGGGCACGAACACGAAGCCAGGGGGGCAGCTACGCACCCCTGGACGCAGCCTACGCCAGAAACAAGGTCACCCAGATACTCCCTTCTGTGCCACCTGGGTAACCCTGAGCGACAGGGCAGTGGACGGAGGGCTGTGACCCCAGCCCAGCCAGAACCCTGGCCCCATCCCTCACCTTGTCAATGGAGCTGCTAGCTGCTGTGGTCGCCAGGCTGTCCTGAAGGTACCCACTGGCCTTTTCACAGATGGCCAGGCTGGCAAGGCCAGACTCTGCCTTTCCTCGGCC